GAAACTGAATGTGTAACAGAAGGGAAAGTTTTCAAATGCCTTTTGACATAAATACATACATTTCATTTTTGAGAAGTGATTAAGAATGAAATCCTGACTTCTTCAAAATCAGTATCAATTGATTCTGAATATCAATATGGGCAGTCTATATTTTACAGGACCCTAAGTACCAGAGATTTTTTTATTTGGTTTCCATGTAACTAATTTCTTTCGGAAACAGCATTCAAAACTTTTTATCATTCAAGTGCTTTAGAAAAATTCAGTTGTACTGTATCCAAATTGTGTCTATTGAAGAAATTATTGAAGATTATATCCCAGAACTTCTTCTCACTATGACTTTGATCTGAAACATGCAAAAAGAAATTTCTTTCAGTTAAGAGGATTTAGTCGCAGACCAAATCCTCTGGGTGACAATTCCAGGTCGTGGACACTCCTTCCCTGGAGATACCCAAAAGCCTCGTGGACACAACCCTGTACCCTGTACCCTGTGCTCTGGGGGACCCTGCTTGAGCAGAGAGCTGGGACCAGAAGACCATTCTGGGACTCAGGAAATGTGAAGCTGAATTTGTCTTGAAGTTTAAGACACTTAAACCAAACCTGCTTTCCGAAATGTCCTCTTCCACAAACATCATACTGCCACATTATCCTTTGTGTTTTAAGTTTCCCTCTCTTATTTCTATTCCCTGAATCTGCTGATTTAGTCTCTCATAAGCTCAGCTTTGTCAGGTCATCAGATATTATTCCACAGATTTTATTTTTAGGGGAAATTAATACAGTCAAAACCATCTTTATTATATTGAAATTATTAAAGATCCATGATGAGCCTCAGTGTTTTCCACCACAGAAATTGATTTAAACATTTGCATAAAAGCTCAGCTCAATCAGGATCAATAAAAAGCACTTTAAAAACATCAGAAGTAAAAGACCTTGACTAAATGTATAATTTGATTGTGAAACTATGATTACTATGTACATGTAAACTACTGAAGTCCACAAGGGATACCTGCATTTATTATTTAAGAACCTCTAAGAGTATAGGCAGGGCTCTAGAAGGCCCAAATAATCCAAGTCTCTGCCAAATCATATTCTCTGGTGTTACATGTTCTTCGTGCAGGGAATGTCACAAATAGTATTATAAATACAGGTTTGTAAATATTCATTGTTCTATGCTGCATAGGCAATTTTATGAGACTGAAATATTTAACAAGAGAAGGTTTAGACTAGAAAGCCTTTTCATACTGAAATGCCTGGAAGGCTAAAGGAACATTCTCCCCAAAACATAAATACCCAAGGAAATTTTGGTTATACCCCTGTTCATTCAATAAACTCCATTTACACATGTACAAGCTGCTGAATAATGGCCACGGTCTGCCATGAGCCTCTGCAGGATTACAATTTACATTTGTGAACTCAGTTTCTCTTAACTAAACATCTGAAGCACTTCATTTCAGAGCTGGCACAAACTAAAGACAAAGAATCTGCTTTGGAAACATTTTCTTGTTCTTTTTGCCTGTGGTCTTCCACTATTGTAGTTGACTACTTTGCTTTTCATTTCAGGGCAAAGGATCTCAGCTGTTCTCTTTGCTAGAGCTGTTCTCGTGGTCACAACTGCTACTTACACACAGTTTATGCACCATTTACAGCTGCTCCTATCAAGATTCCAGGTAAGCACTGTGTATTGTTCACAGAATAAATACTCTAAAGAATTATGTTTTTGTTAACCCAACTGTCTGAAATACAATCAATTCAAGTAACTTAAAATAATTTCTCTAGAGACATTATGCTTGTATGCATGGGAAGAAATATCCACCTAATATTTTTGGAAACACCTTGCCATAGTAAATACTATTACTTGGAATATTATTTGAAAGAATATTAGGATTATTCCTATAGGCCCAGTCAAGACTGAACATCATTTCACTATGCACTTCCTTAGCTTAAATACACATAGAAATAGACACAGGTACAGCACATGGAATTGCATTATCCCATATGATGGAGAGTTCCATACTTCCTATTCCTGTCTTGCAAAATTACATGGTCTTATTGCTTAATTTTTCTCTCTCTTTTGAAAGTCTAGACCATACTTTAAAGTAGGAAACATTGAGCACCACCCAATACTGTTAATAGAAAATATTTGGATAAAACATATGTCTAGACTACCTTAGACATGATACAATGCAGAACAATCCCGAGTACACTTGCTGCTTTCCATTGTGGCTTGCACTTTGAGACAAAATCTAAATGCTCTAATTATGTTAGTCATTCTGACATAGCTATTAAGGTCAAAATAAATGCAAACAGATCATTTTCACTGGTTTAATGTTAGTTCTCATTTACCATATTATTATATAACTTTCAAAGTGTTGTTTCTCTCCAAACCAACGTTCATCAAATGCTGCTAAAGAATGAATTGTATAGCTTAACTCTTCCTCCAAAATCAACTCCTTAGGAACACTTATCACCAAATCAGATGGAAGAGAGTGAGAATCATGATGAAACAGCAAAAAAGGGAAAGATGTGACAAAATCACTGTTAAAAATACATATTTATTATCCTTAAGAAAACAAAAGTATATGCACCTTTTAAAAACCAAAATATTCTCCTATATTTTCTTTTTACAGAAATTAAACCTAAATTCTCTGTATGGGACTGAGCTATTCAGTAGCTTGAAAAGACATGAAGCTTTCTCACTCCTCAACTCTTTTTTAAAAAGTGGCTTTCCATAAGAACTGCTGGGATGCAATTGGCAGCTCTCTTTCCACATCATCCATCCTTATGCAGGACAACAGAAATGTTAAATTCCATTTTGCCTGTTAGAAAACTCATCCCCTGGTGGTTTGGGCTCAGATATGAACTTTACGAATGCAGCAGCCCCTTGACAACTGCCAGTCTGTTGTTATTACACTGATCCATTACAATATCCCTTCTAGCTGCTCCAAAGAGTTCAGGGCAGGGTTTAGAGCCTTCTGATACAATTTTCCCCTCAGACACTCTCAGAAGAGAGCAGATCAGACTTCTAATATTTTGCCAATGTTTAGCACTGCCTACATGGGCTCTGTCACACAGGTCCTGCTGCTGAGATTTGAGGAAATGGCCATGCCTGATTACATAAAAATCTGCATCAGTTCTGTTGATTCATTTCCTCAGGTTTGGTTATACACACACCACCAGATCTGGCCATCATTAAATTGTATTTGTTGTGGAAATCTGCATTAATGCAGATTGCAGAGGGTACTCAGTGCTCCGTCCACATTTGTGCCAAATTAAGACCCGGCGTTTCTGGTTGCTGCATGGACAATTGTCATTGCCAGTCCCTCTCCAAAACTCCAGTGAGGGCACTCACAGAGGAAAGGACCTAAATGCAGACTCTGCAATACCTCTCAAAATACTTTTCCTGAGCCTTTTCATTAAAAGCAGAATCGTGTTACAGCTCTACAACATCTGTAGGAATCCAGAAGCTGACCCAAGATTCCCTCTTATTCTTGGCTTGCTCAGAGGGAACAAGATCTGCTCCTCTCATCAACCACGTTGACTGTAGGTAATGTTCACAAATTAAATTGTTCAGTTGCACTGTTTGGGAAGTTCACAAGAGTGGAGGACATAAAAAAACCCCAACCCAAACCAGGGTATTTTATTATACCTTGTGGTTGAAGAAAACATTTGAACTTTGGTTAATAATTGACCAAACCACTTTTAGTGAGGGTCAGGGAGGGAAGATTCAACTTTCTACAGCTGTTTATGTGAGCTTTTTACTTTTTTAAAATAAAGTTAAATACATTCTCTGCTTTCAGAAGCTATTGCCATGTTCTTAACTATATCTCTTAGCAAACTTCTGTTAAAGACATTTTTCTGTTTTGGACTGGAAATTCTATCCAACATTTTACATGATATTAATCTAGCATTTTTGAGTGGCAAAAAAGAAAGGTGAAGTTACATAAAGACAATTCATTGCAATTGTGTATTGACTATCATTAATAAATCAAACTTTCACTGACATCTATAAAAGCACTGATTAGTTTTGGCACTAGGAAAATTAAAACTTCACCTACTCATTTTCTCCTACTTTCTCTTACTCCTTGCTTCTGAAGTCACACTATTTCCTTTATATTTGTGGCCTTCATATATTTCTGTATCACTTTCACGTAAATGAATTAATCCAAATTCAGAATAAATTGTGTTTCCTAAAACCTCTCAGAAACTGGACAATTTCTTCCAGATTTTTAGGAGCTGAGATCCTGTTTGGTGGATTTTGTTTTTTCCTATAATGATTTCTTTGATATTTATTATTTTCTAATTGCCGATATTCTGAGATTAGAAAGATAAATGCCACACAGAACAGTAGATGAGAAGAAAATGACCCCAATTCAAGACATTGGAGATGGACTGTTTTCACATTTTCATCAGCTGAGAAAATTAAATAAAGAATTCGTTTGGCTACTCTGAACAATGGATTTACAATTTGCATAGAAAAAATGATGGCAAAACCTCAGAACCCATCAGTGTTTTACCACAAGCTCAGTTCTATTACATTTCAGTGGAGGTTCAAAGTTGTCTAAAAAAACCATTCTCTTCTTTCCCCAACCGTAAATGTGTCACTTGAGAGTTCAACATGCAATAGAAGCAGTATCTGACACAAACTAATTTTGGAATATAAAGTGCTCTTCACCATATTGGAATACATATAATTTAAAATAACTGTAAACCTAAACTTTGGAAAAACAGAAAATTCAAGCACTAACAAAAAAGCATAATTTGTAATTGAAAGAAAATAATATTTGAAAGGAAAAAAAAAAACAACAACTTTTTTTTTGTCTTTCCAAAAAGAGACAGAAATTACTAAGTTTTATTTCCCAAGAGAATTATGCCACTTTTATAAAGAAAATTACAGTCACCACAAATTGCTCTCAACAATTCCAAAGCTTCTTCATTTGACCACTTGAAAATCAGAGTTCTTTAAGATTATAAATATAACTTTTTATAACTCTGTTATTACGTACTGTGAATGGGGAAAGGGGGCCAATCTTGTGGCCGTAGCGTCGAATGGCCTCTCTGATGTGGCTGGGCTGGATGGCATCACTTTGAGCCTCCATCCCACAGGCTGCAGTGCTCTGCAACAGAAAAACACATAAATTGTTACTAAATCAAAAACACACAACAGACCTACAGTGCATAAAGTATGAAAATAAACCTTTTTAAAATGGACCCTTTTATTTTTTTTTTCCTGAGGATACACATCATTGGTGCCACACACTAGATCAGAGAAAAAAAGCTATTAACAAATTAAAGAGGACTTTTACATGAACTTTGCTTAAGAGACCCAAAGAACACCATGTTAGCCCATTTAAATCTTTCACCTAGTGCTGCTCTATGTTGCAATTGAAAAGAGCAGAAAACGTTCAAACTAAAATGAAAAGGTCATTTAAGTCATATTGCAATATGAAATTATTTTTAAAACATTTCAGGCTCTTATTATTATGTCAAGGGGTGGGGAAAATATTGAACAAGCACACAAAGTGGAAAGCAGTCTGACACCAAAATCACCATTGAATAGCATCAACTTGAAAGCTGAAGCTGAAACATGTAACATAAGGATATTAGAAGGATGCAAAAAAAAATTAATTACTTCAAACTGGAAAGTTTTAAAATTTCAAGTGACTTTTTGGATAATGAACCCAAATAAATAGGTAAAAATAAATAGGTAAAAATAAGAATTCACTGCTACTGGCACACTGATTGGACAATAATTTTCCTGGGATTTTAAAAGAAAAAGTTATTCTTTTTTCCTTGCTAGCCAGCCTGAAATGTTGTTTTAGGTTTCACCTAGACACAGCTGCTTGCCAGAATTCAGATGACTTCTCTAATGATGGCTGCTTGGCAATAAGTTCATGAAAATTGTAATAGTGAGAATGGGAAAAACTTTAATTATACACTGAATTTTAATATACACACATCCATGGCCCACTCATAAATTCACATCATATCCTAATGCTCTCAAACTTGGGATATTTTTTACAAAATGTTTTATTTTCAAGAGCTCTGAGTCCACTGGAGCCTGTGAGTACACACAGAATTATTCATAATATGATGGCAGATTCTTCTCCTGATGATTGACATCCATAAAGGGAATATGAAACTCAGATATTTTCTGCTGGACTGGGACTTCATGGCCTAAAAATAGTACTTTTCACCAAGTTAACTTGTCTGCCTCATTTATATCCAGTAGATACCTATGAAAATTGAGTAAGTCATGAGAACATTAAATTAAAATTGCACTTTTTTGAATATAATTATTTTCAAAGACATTTAGTCAAACACTAAGAACTTAAACTCACAGTATCAGTAAAATATAATGTATCAAAAACTGCACCTCCAGCTAAATTTCTGTTTCTAGGAATTATAATGAAAATCAGCCACAGGAACAAAACATAATCAAATAAAAAAGGAAGAGGAAAAAGCACAAGTCTTTCCAGGATTCACTAAAAGCCTTCTAACTAGCGTATAATAAGGATAGGAGGAAGTTGAACACTTCAGGACTATCCATAGCACTGATGACACGAGAAGGAGAAAATACATTTTTTCTACCTTATCACTGTAGAAATCACCACTTTTACCCTGAAGAGTATTTTTTAATAACAAAACACTTGATAAAATCCCAAGTTATTCCATTGCTTTCCAGGAAAATGAGCTGAGAAGCTCATTGTTTCCTCAAAACAGCCCCAAGTGACCAGCACAGGTTTTCCTATCCAGTTTATTTAATCACATTGATTTCTCTCGTGGGTTTTAGGTACATATATCCCTCTCAGAACACCAAGACTCTGCAACAGCAGACAAGAATTGTAACACTTATATTTCATACTCTGAATATGAGACATCCCTGCTTTATGCAAAGTTAACAAATATTTAGCTTGAATGCAAACAACTGGTATAAAAATGAAGCAAGTCAGGCAAAGCTGTTAAAGGCAAAGGCAGCAGTTACCTCAGGCTGCTGGGATCAGGAAAATCACCAGCACCTCTTTGCCTATTTTGCTTATATTTTGACCTTTAAAACCTGTGCTTGCTGCCCCTGTCAGAGAAGGGGATGGTCATTTGGGGTGGTGACAACTGCTGTGCCTGCAGAGGAGCAGGTTATCTTAGAAGCAGGAGCTGCCACCTTAACGAAATTCAGTTTGCAGACATTATTAGGAAAATTTAGCGTAATTCTGATAGAAAAGAATATCAACCCACACATTTGGCCCTAGAACAATGCCTGGTAATATATGATATAGGTTAAAATGAATATTTAAGACAAGACACATTATTTACTGTGAGGGAGCTGAGGCCCTGGCACAGGTTGCCCAGAGAAGCTGTGGAAGTGCCCAAGGCCAGGTTGGACAGGGCTTGGAGCACCCAGGTCTAGTGGAAGGGGTCCCACCCACGGTGGGGGATGATCTTCAAGGTCCCTCCCAACCCAAACCATTCTGTGATTTTGTGAAGATTCCCTGAGGATGTTTTCGCTTCGTTTTCATTTTTTTTCCTCCAGGACTGTGCACCAAATACCTTCTTTCTTTTCCTTTGTTTGGATTTAGTGGAGTCCTGTCCAATTCCACCATTCCCCAAGGCTCCTGAGGAGGTTTTCCCAAGGTGCTGCTGCCCTGCTGATGCTGGCGGGGTGGGTGTAGGGGGTGGTGTGTTCTCAGGGGAGTCAAGACTGCTCTTCACACTCGTAGACTGCCCTAGGAGATGTGGCTGCAAAAGCAAGATGTCAAACAGCCAAAACATAATCAAATCACAAATGAACCCCAACCCAATTATTTCTTTCTCAGATTCCCTGCTGGAAGAGATGCAGTACAGAATTTGGTTTTCTCATCCTAAAAGTTACTACAAAGATGTGTATAATATCAATGCATGCAACACAGTATTTAGTGCACTTGCCAATTTTGTAAACTTTAATCTTCAAATCTGCAACAGAGCCTTGAACACAGAGAGTAGGAATTTTCACCCAAGATGATTTTTATTTGATTATAAAGATGCTGCTACGAATTTAACATTCAGAATTATAATTTAATGTTTTTCCATCTAAATCCATAACTTCAGAGTTCATAAACTCTATAATAGAAGTCTGTATCAATACTACATTCAATTATGAAAACTCTGGAAGAAAATACATGTAAAAGCAAAACATAAAATGCATCAATATGTGAAAAAGCAAGTTTTACCTCAGTAGAGTTGTGGTACTGTATGAAAGTGGCAGATATGGCATGACTGAATGGGTCACCAGCTTTGGGAGTCATGTCCTGTTTAACCAAAAGGGCCAAGTCCACCAGCTGGAGGGGTAAAACAGATGAGGTTACTGACATGATACTAAAAATGCCATTGTAACAATGGAGAGTCAGGGTTGTGGGTTGAAGCAGAACATTCTCAGCGTTTCTCAGATGAAAATAAAGTTATTCAGATATTTCAGCCTAAAGAGCATTTCTTTTCCACTTCTGTAAATATATGGAGCAATCTATCTACCCAATAGGGCTCAGCTTGGCACTAAGGTAACATTTTGCTTTCCAGGAAATCTTTCTTTCTAATCCAGTTGTGCAATGGGACTGAATGAGCCTCAGTGCACTGCCAAAGGTCACATAGCAAAGTGTGTGGTTTCAGTTTGGACTTGAAAAAGGTTTGTGCTGCACTCCCCTCTCTTCTGCAGCTGTTATAAAACATTTCTGTTTGTCTATGAAATGGATGAACACAGCACAGCACACATCTGTCACACAGCAAATTGAAAGGCAGGCTGGATTGATTTTTGAGCTTCTCTACTGGAAGGTGTCCCTGCTCATGGCTGGGGATTGGAACTGGATGAGCTTTAAGGTCCCTTCCAACCCAAACCATCCCACGACTCCATGAATCCAGTTAGCTTGGAGAGCTGAAGTAGTGACTGCATTTCTGAAGGGGCTTACAACCCAGACCCTGAGGCTGAAGTATCTCCAAGAGTAATTAATTAATTTTCACTAGACTTCAATCAGTCCCTTACCTGGGCCACAGTCTCATATGCTAAATATGCCAAAATCTCCATTGCAACTGCATTTGGCTTTATTTCCATACTGCTACAGTCCAGCCAGTCACGGAACTTGGATGCTTTCTTTGCTGTCAGTTAAAACCATAAGGGGAAAAAGAAAAGTTAATGACAGATAGGCCAAAATAATCCATTCTTTTGGGTTACAGAAATACTGCAAAATGGAAGCAATTAGTGTGTGACTTAATTGGCCAAAGAAGTAATTATCAAAATGGAACCAGTGGGGAAAGACTGTTATTTCATACATTTTGGAGACCCATAAGCACATGGAATAAAGAGAAAAAACACAAGATAATTGATCAAACAGGAGATTTCAGAACAAGGAAGGGTCAGCCTCAGAGGAGTGTGGACTGGACAAACTGGAAAATAAGTAAAATGATTGCATCGTATCTTAGATGAATTAAAAACACTAAAAGAAATCAATACAAATATGAGTCCAGATAAAATTGATATAACTGTATTATTAACAGCAAAGACAAATGAAGGACAGAAGAATTTAGAAGTCCTGGTGTTAACTTTAGAGGGCTGAGTGCTGACATGTGAACCAAATATATTTGTACAAGAGTGTCTTTTAAGTGTGCTTTGGATAGAAAGAAATAAGGATAGATTTATAATCAACATTCCTACAAGAACTTCACACTGGTAACAGGAAAGATCAATTCAGAAAAAGGGCTGAGAAAAATATGGGATAATGAAGTGTAAAATTTGCTCAGAGAGTGAAAGGAGGGGAAAAGAGGATGATCTTACTTAGGTCAGTGGTGGACAAGATGATCATAGAAATCTGTGGACAGAAAGGAGCTATTGAGACAGAGATCTTAATGAGGGCTGTTTGTGAGACAGGACAACCAAAACAAAGTAAATACAAGGTGGAAATATCATCTGAAGGAATTGGAAACAACTCTTTCAGAAAGAGTTTTCAAACAGAAATATAAAGCTACACACAAGTCAGTTAAACAGACAAAAGGTCAAAATAATGGTTATTTTTATTCAGGAGGTTAAAGAAGATTACATTGCATCACCAGAGAAAGAAAAAAACAAAAAACAAAAAACCAAACCAAACCAAACAAAAAAACCCCAAAAGGCAAAAAACAAAACAAACCCAAAAAAAAAAAAAAAAAAAAAAAAAAAAAAAAAAAAAAAAAAAANTTATCACAAAATGTTCCCTAGAAATTAAGTTTGCATTTCTGTAGTACTTGATCCTTTGAGAGACCTTTTCTTTTGTTCTTTTGCCTGTCTTCAAAAGTGCAGAAATATCTGGAGCTGTGATTATTATTATATTTTGTAGAACAGGTTTCTTGAAGTCCCTTCCACGTTCATTCTCTTATGAAACAATTTTTATGGGCTTCTATTACAGTAATACATTTCGTTAAACATAGTAACACAATCAATTTTTACTAAAATAAATAAGTTTAAAAAGCCTTTGGACAAATGTTCTGCATGGCCTTTAGTATGTTCTGTCTAATTGAGCTCATTTTGTGCAATTGAATTTGTGCCTAAGTCTCTCTTGGCACTATTTTCTAACCACTGTAATTCTCTTATTCTTTAATGACATTAAATGTGAGTGAAAAAGAACTATATAGACATGGTCATTTAAAAACACTGTGAAAATAACACTGAGATATTTTTATAGATCACAATCTCTTGGTCAGCAACATTCTATTTTATTTTGCAAATTTAAGATTTTTATTTGTTCTGTCTCCAGATGGCAATTTTGGGGTTTTAAAAATGACTTTATCACAAACCTCTCATTTCCTGAAGTCACCCTAATCTGAAGTATCATTTATCTAATGGTTCACAGATGTGTGATGCCAAATTATAACTAAATGTAAAAAACCATATTGAATTAGAAAAAGAAATGCTTACAAAACATGTTTTCCTACGTTTGCTGACATTTGCTGATGGAGAACAGTATCTCAAATGTGTCATTTATTTGCCATAAATGAGTCATTCTTTCTTTGAATTTAGAAGGAACAACAAGATAAGGTCTCTCCTTTAAAGACACTACTGTGTTCAAGTCCATGTTGTAGGATCATGTGCTGTTTTGTCACGATTTTTACTGGCTCCTTCACCTCCCTTTCTCTGACTTTTGACCTAAAACCTTAGTCATCACTTAACCACTTCTGTAATGATGTTTTGCTACATGATCAAGCCCATTAATTTACAGCTCATTATAGTCGTGGCCCACAAGTACTTCTAGTAAGTTGGTTTTCAGTGCTAGTAAAGCCCTAATTCTGTCATCATGTTATTAGTGTTGGAATGGTGTATACTGATGAACTTGGCTAATGGTGAATAAATTCCACAGCAGGAGCTTACAGCTTAAAATAGAAAAGACTCTTTAGTTAGCTCTTTGTGTCTCTGCGGATTGGGAAATAAAAGCAAAACTTGCTGCTCTTCTCTAATTTTAGAGGCATTCCAAAAAACCTGCAGCCATGAAACTTTGCTAATGTGCCGACTTTAGCACCACCATGACAGACTTCAGGCAAAACTCAGGTGGTTTTAATCCATTAACTCCTCACCAGTTCTGTCTTTGCAGTCATTCCCACCAACTCAGTATCTGAGCACACAGAAAGCTTGGTAAATATTAAAATAAAATACTCTGCCTGACGGCCTGAAACACTGCTAAATTAACTGTTCCCAAGAGTTACACAGACAAAGAATTTAAAGTTTAATTATTGTGGATGAAACAAAAGTGCTTTCAAAAAACATGAGGTTCTGGTGTGCTCTCTATTAAATGAAATAATAATCAAATATTTTAACATAGTGCAGCCATTATAATACTTACAAAAACTCAGTTGCCGACTTTCACAGAATTCTGCATACTGGACTGAGTCCATGGTTCGTGTTTGTCTTTCTGCTCTCTGACAAAAGAGTAAAAGTACATGATGTACCTTATTCCAACAAGACTGAATTCCACAACGGAAATTATAGCACCAAAGCGCCCTCGCCACAGCCTTGAAGCAACCCTCCCAAATTAAACGTGCATTGAACAAGTCAAGATGCAGAAATATAAACCACAGATGGGTTATTAGTCTTGTGAGTTAAATTTCCCAGAGGAGCGTGTCAATTCTTATTTTCAAAACCTGCCTGCTCACCCAGCCCAGTGGTGAGGGCTGAGAGGAGAGAGGTGCTGAGCACTGCTGCCCTGCTGCATGTTTAAACTGAAGCACATGAATATCCTGCCTGTGTGTTTACAGATGGCCAGAAAAGTAAAATGTTCTCCTGGATTGAGGCCAACATGTTCTGCACTGAGCAGAGCTGAACCTGTGTGCTTCTAAATTGTGAAATGAATAAATTCCAACACACTGACATGCCAGACAGAGAATGGCATTGAAGTGTCCCTTTCCACACTCAATACACAGTAATAAATAAATGGTACATGTGTCTGTTTCTTTTTTTTTTTCACTCTTAATTTATGCCTGAATTTTTATACTTCTGAATACTACAGGAAAAGAAAGGAAATTAGATTGAATTAGAGCTTGTGGGAGAAAAGAATATATCCAAATGTTCACTAACTGCATTTAAGAATGTATTTCACATGAAGTCCAGTGCCAACCAAAAGAATGAATCTCAAAAGAGTCAAGTTACAAAACCACAAACACTGCACACCCTCCCCTCCACATATACAGGATGCTGTAATTGAATCACGGTTGAAGCAGCACTGAAGTCCATGGTTAGGTCTGAGCAGGTGCTTGAGTTTTGTTTACTTCAACAGAGCAGGGGTGATTTTCACTAGGTAAAGATCTGGTCTCCACAAGAGATTAAACACTTCACGTATCAGAGGCAGGAAGCAGTAGTTAGATTAAAAAGGAGTGTCCCTGCCAGAAGCAGACAGCTGAGTCCAATCTCTCAAACAAGCAGAAACAACAAGGAAAGGAATGTAAGCGTCTTCCAAACTAAATCAATGAATAAATCATCACACCTGAACTATCACTACGGATACAAAGTGGTGCCAGGAGGGGCTGATGGCACCAAGACTGTGCTTGTGCAGTGAGTCCATGAAGCTCAAGAAACCATCCACAAAGAATGAAAGGTACAGGCGTGTTCACACTAAGGACAAAACACAAGGGAAAAACCACACACAGACACAAATTTTGCTCTGATGTCCTGAAGAATTTTACATCTGATGAAATCAAAATCACAGAGTTCTTCAATCTGATTTAATAGAAGACAATGGGGCTATTGGTTATATATATATATGTATATATGTATGTATGTATCTCCATGCTATACAACCTGCATTTGGCTTTATCAGCTCCCAAATCAGGGGGAAAAGAAATTAAATAAAATTAGCACTTCAAATTTACAGTTTCTTCCTCTATACTCTGCCTTTTAGGTCTCTCTTCTACAACCATCCAACCTGTCACTTACAAGATCTGCTTCACAGTCAACCTATTCAATTTAGCTGTAAACTAAACCACAAGCTGACCAGGAACACACCTGGAGAGTCCTTTCTTTTCCTCTCTACCCAGTCAATCCTTTTGACTGTATTTGGTCCTTTAGCCACCATGGTAGAAACTGTTCTACTCAGGCATTTTCCAGTTCTCCTATGCATGGCTCTGACAACCTGACCACATTTTGAGGAGCTGCCATTTCATATTAGTAAAAATTTTCAGTTAATCCATTCCAACAAGATGTTAAGTATAGATTGAGTTTGTATTCCTTTAAAAATAATTTTCACAATCCATGCTGTAACTTCAACCCATTACAGAACTCAACTTTGGTCCTGAATTATTTCAGCTATACTTTTAAAAACAGAAGGCATCACAGAGATAATCTAATCTGAACTTCTGCATAGCACAGGACACTTCTCACATAATACATCCTAGAAACAGCAGTCCTAGAATTCCTTGTATAATTTTACTTTATGCTTTATAAAAGCCTCTAATTTAGGGTTTAATTTTTCACATATTTAAGAGATATCTTCTTCAAATAATTTTAAAAGCTGTGGTTTTTTGCAATGTGGTTTAAATTCTGTAATCCTTTTTTTTCCTGCTTGGCACCTATATGTTAAACCATTGGCTATAACCCTTCACATTCAGCCCTCCAACAGATTTTAAACCCCTTGAAACAACAAGGAAGGTGTGGAAAAACAAATCATATGACACGGTAATGTGAGGAATTATTCTTCAAAGTCCTACCTGAGATGATACAAAAAACCCAACATGTAGAAATTTGACAAGGATACTTTAACATTCACAGGCATCCCATAATGTAATCTGGAAGCTGCAAAACCAGATTAATCCCAAAAGCAGTCATGTTAAATTAAATGATTTAGCAATGGCTACTCTGAGCAAATAGACCACAAAGCTCTGAAAATGCAGACTGTCAAAGTCTACAGGTTTCATTATAAGTAGCACAAATTTCTTTGTAAGTGAAAAAACTCAAAGCTTTATTAAAAGAAAAGTGCTGCTGAGGGATTTTTCCAATAGAGACTTAATTTCTCTCTACAAATTGTCTACAGGAGTTCTCTAAACACTGAATTTAATGCTGTTCTTATATACTAAATAAATACTTTCAATTGCTTTCTCTCTGTACAAATAGTTTTATTTAGCAAAATTACTTACATATATGTGAAATAGAATTGTTTTCTTCCTTCAATTCTCTCTTTAAAATAATTCTTTCTTTCTTAAAGGTGGATTCCAGTCTGATGCTCTAAACCGCCACTAAATAAAATAGTGTTTGTCATAAATAACTGGACTTTGCTTTTTTTTCTTAATTCACTTTAACAAAAGAACCCTCACATGATGGCACGGAACCTCACAGTTTGAAGGATAAAGAGAGACATTCTTTCAGTTTCAGAATAGTCTATAAATAACCATCTAGTGCAGCAGAAATGAACAAATGAGTGGCACAGCTGGGTCATCTTTAAGGAAACACCAACCCAAAGACAACATGTTTTTCCTCTTCACTTCTCAAGATCACAAGCAGTGTTTTATTTTTTTTTCTCCTATATCATCCCTGCTTCGAAAAAATGTAATGTTCCCTTACTTTTGCATTCCTAAGGTGTATTTTATAAACTCAAAACAAATCAGTGACATAGGATAAAAAGGGAGAAGAAAGAGTGAGGACATTACTGTGAACATAGCATGACTCCAGGCCAAAAGAGTTGAAAGAAAATGGGATCCAGTGTTGAGAGTGTCACAAAATTTGTTAAAATAATTTTATCTGTAGGTCTAAAGGATACCTACTTATAATTTTTCAGGTTTTTTTTTCTCTCTCAACTATTTTTTTGAAAACAAGAAATTATACAGGATGCTTAGGCTAAGAAACAACTACAAGTCTATACAAGTGAAATTTTCTAAATTTTGTTGTTGGAAGGAGCAGCAAGTCACTCCAACAAAACAGAAGTCCTCTTTCATCAGAATAAATGCCAGTTTGCTGGGAATCTTTCTGATATGAAAAAATAGTGAAACTTCTAATAAAACTCCACCTTGAAGCAACCTCAGCTTGAAAGCAGATACAACAAATGGCAGCAATGACACTGCTCAATTGGTTTATCAAAAGAATTAAAAAATAGATAGTTTTTACTCCCTCTCTAGTAGTACTAGTCACTCCAAGCAGTTAAGAAGCTGAGTTATGGGCTGTACAGCAGAGTTAAAATACTTTGCATGCTTTCCTTGGAACATGCTGAAGGATGCAGTAGATAGGACCTGGCACAGTAAACGTCTGCTTAGTCTTCCAAAAATGTGGTGCATTATATCTTTCTTTCAGCAAAAAGAACTAAAAAGGGAAAGGAAAGAAAAAGGTAAAGAATTGCACGTTGTCACCTACCATCCAGGATGAAAAATAATCTTATTTTTATTCTGTTCTGAAGCTTTCACACTTGACATACAAAGCTCTTTGTGTGGGGGGAAGAAGGCAGGAGGCCAAACGTTGACTTGCTCACGGACTGCTCCGTGTTTGGAGGAAATGTGCCGAGGGCTGCTGAGCTGGAACATTTGAAAAACGTATGAGGCACGGCTGGACACCCCTGTGCTTGGCAACAATGTTGGGATGAAGGTGTTGGCTTCCCAAACTCTCACATATTCATCTTGGTGGCATGATTCCCTGATTCCCTCTGCTCAAGAACTCTCATTGTGAGCCTATCACGGTTTCAAAGGAGCCAGGTGGCCACCCCAGGGAAAACCAAAGCTGCCCTGCAAGGACTGATATTGCCTGAATAGAATCCTAAATAATTTAATTTTTTTTATTTAGACTAGAGAATAACAGGGCCCTGTGTGCTGACAGCTCTGCAGTGGGTGGCCTGCAGGGTGGTCAAGGCCCAAATTGCAGGGAGGGTGTAGGGCAATGGAGATGCTCCAAGGGCTGGAGCACGTTTCCTATGGAGCCAGGCTGGGAGAGCTGGGGGTGCTCACCTGGAGAAGAGAAGGATCCAGGGAGAGCTCAGAGCCCCCTCCAGAGCCTAAAGGGCTCCAGGAGAGCTGGAAAGGGACTGGGGACAAGGGATGGAGGGACAGGACAAGGGGCAATGGTTCACACTGACACAGGGCAGGGATGGATGGGATATTGGGAAGGAATTGTTCACTGTAGGGTGGGCAGGCCCTGGCACAGGGTGCCCAGAGAAGCTGTGGCTGCTTCTGGATCCCTGGAAGTGTCCAAGGTCAGGGTGAGCAACCTGGAATACTGGAAGAGGTCCCTACCCATAGCAGGGAATTGGAGTGAGATTATGTTGTAAGGCCTCTCCCAACCCAAACTATTCTGTGATTCCATGAAAAATTACTTAGATTTACAAAAAAAAAAAAAAAAAGTCCTGAGAAATCAAGTGCAAGGTAGCTCAATATTGACGTATTTACAAAATATGCTGAAAATACGTTTTTAGTCTCTGAATTTTGACATTATCTGAGGATTATCACTATCT